CGTCCCTTCCTGGGAACCATATGCTCTGTCCTTTCATGATCACTGCCACCAGCGTTTCTTCACCTTCGTGTTCCCCAGCAGGTATCAACATCAGTTGGTTGATCACTGGAGTGAATTATCCTGTATACTTGTGGTGCTTTTTCCCCCCTCAAAGTTTCTTGAAAGAGTTCATAATACTAAGAATTGCATGCAGAAGAGAGCAACCATTTTAAGGAGGTATAAAGCAAAAGCTGATTTATTAAAATAATACACAAGTGATTGGGGAGGGGGTTGCAGTGCCTCACTGAAGCATCTACCTTCTTCACAGAGGTCTGACTGCCAGGGACACTTGGGGAATGCTGGCTAATAATACTGGCAGAGCAAAGGTCTGATGAGAATGCGAATACGGCTGGATTGAAGGCAGTCTTATTAGCCAGGGGAGAGCAGGAGTGAGCTGGGAGCTCCCCATCACATTTCATGCAGTCTTGCATCAGTCCATGGTGGTGGGGTGCTTGTGGCAGTGACGGCTTGTTTCTGAAGTATCAGATCAAACCTGTTTCGCACCTGGAATCTTTAATAAAATAAAAGAGTTTTCTGGTGTGTGTGGTTTTGGATGAGATTTGGGTTTTTTGCTTGTGTTATTCTGGGAAGAGAAGGAATACTATGCACGATGACCTGCTCAAGACCTGAGTAGCTGGTGAGGCGGATGGGTCACAGAGCCTGCAGGGGAATGGGAAGGTGACAGTGACATTCTGTCTGTGCCAGGGACCCTGCAAAAATCTTATCAGGCACAAGACATTACTTGTCTTCCCCCCTATTAGAGGAGAAACTTGTTTTTGCCAAATAAACTGCTTTGTAGACATGACCTGGTATGTTTATTAAACAAAACGTGTGAAAAATTCAGGCACTGTTAGTCACTAATAGCTGTCCAGTGTGCATCCAAAGCCTCTTGAATTTCTGTCAACTTGCTGTCTTAAATATACAAGGTACAAGTTATGTAGTTAAACATGTAAGAGTTTTATAAATGCCTTTTATAGTTGGTATTCAGAAAACTTTCCATGTTGGCAGATAGAAAACAAAAAAAAGGGGCGGGAGGGAATTCAAAAAGCAAAGCTGTTTAACTTAAAGAATCTTTGAGATGGTAAAGTAGTTTGAGAGCAGTGTTTGAATCTTTGCTCTTGAAGTGGAGGACAAAATGTTTGGGGCCAAACAGCTGGTTTTATTGATGCTGGGTCTAGAATTTGTGTGTTTTAGCACTGTCAAAGAGCAGAGCTGCAGGTCTTTCGCACTTGGAGAAGTTAGTGGGAGTCTTTTGATTGTCTTCAGTAAACACTGGACCGGTCACTTCATTCTGAGAAAGAGCTTCCCTCTGTCTTTTTTCCTTTAGTTAAATGATGGGTGTTATGTCCTAATGCCTCTGTAGCTGGAAGACTGAATACGGCAGGTAAGCTCACAGTCATCTCCGTGGCTGACTTCCAGGGATGATGGAGAGCGGTACAGCAAACAGATGAGCCGGTCAGAAAACAGTTTCAGGAGTATTTATTGCTTAATCTTATTTACTTGTCCAGAGCTGTGTTATTCCAATGCTACTACTTTGAAAGATGCTGCAAAATATGCTGCTCTCCTATCAATAAACTACTCTGTGAGCTGCAGTAGAATTGGTAGGGGAAAAGTGGAGAAATTTTTGTAGCATGTTTTGGAAAAAAGCAGGAGAAGATGGAGAGAGACAAGGAGGTGAAAGTGCAGAAATTTGTTGATTTTTCTTAGGATGATACTTAAAGGCTGAATTATCCCTGTTCGATACCAATCTAAGTGCAGCCAGGTTAGTGGGAAATTCCTCTCCCTGCGGAGAGGTCTGTGCCCTCATGCAGGCTCTCTCTGGGTTGTGTTTGCCCAGGTGGGAGCGTGATGGGTACCACACCAGTTGCTTGTAATATTTCATTTGCTGATCAGGACACTTTGTTTTTCCAGATGACTTCCAATGGCTTTGTAAGATCCTCTCATGCCAATGAAACAGGGAATGGGGAGAAACTCCAGGTATCCTCCAGGTGCTTGGATGGATTTACCTGGGTGGGCTTTCTCCGTTTTTGAAGAAAACAAAATATGGGTACAGTGGTCCTTTCCAGGTAGAAAAGGGTTGGCTTCCTAACCCAACGTAACACAAGCTGTCCCTCTGATGGAAGATCAGTGTTTTTTATCCTGTAATATGGTTGGCTCAGAGAAATTAATATTTTCTTTATTTTTTGCATTTGGGTTTCAGTAGCACAGTAACTAGCAGATCTCAGAAGTGATGAGAAGCCCCTACGAGGTAGATCTGGGAGATTAACCAGATCCACCAGCAATGCATCTCCGGCATACTGCAGACTTCCTAGTCTTTCACGTAGTTTGAAGCAGCCTGCCCTCATCTGTCTTGGTACTGGAGCGTTACACCAAAATTGGGTGAGAAACAAATCCTGTCCTTCTCGAGGAGGCAGTTGGTACCTTTGCAATGGAACTAAAAATGGCACACAAGCTTCCTTTTCTAGGGCTTTGCGCAGCTGTGGTCAACAAAGAAGGTAGTAGAACTGGTTTTCCTTCCTTTACCAGAGGTCTTTCTGGCTGCAGAACATCATTTTAGCTTAGAAACCTTTTACCCATGATTCAAAATAGGTATGTTAAGTTTAACACAAACTGCAAGGTCCGTTCTTCCTTCTGGGGAGACCAGAGCCTGGAAGGAGAGGGGTATGAGAATGGTGTTCAAAGATGATATCTGAAAGTTGTGTCAGAAGCGGGATATTGCTGAGAATTTCTTGTTGCTTTTAATATTATTAAACAATACCAAAATCCCCAGCAAGACAAATGGGTTCTTCCATGTATGTTACAAACGATGATAGTGAATAACTCTCTCTCTCTTTCCTTCAGACATCATACAAATCCAGTGGGCACAGAGTGGCGATGGAAGATGGACCAACCTGAAGTGATCTTGCAGGAGGCTATTGAGAACCATCAGAATATGATCAAGCAGTTCAAAGGTAACTTCTCCCACTTCTTCCCTGTTAACGATGCTTTTGGAAGATCTAACCAGCAGTAGCATCTTCAAAGCACAGATGAGAACATTCTGGTCATCTTTGAAATGAGATTTATGATATCAGAAAGATGGGTAAGTGAGAAGAAACTTTGGTGGCACACTTACTGTTTTCTGTGATGTTCTGCCTTGTTATTGACATCAGAACATGAGTCAGCCATTGGGTATCTACCACTGCCTTGAGGGAACAGAGCGGAGTTGCCTCTTGCATCCTGGTAGTTGTCATATCCTTTTCCTCAGTGTGCACAGAGGCTTGCACAGTGATTCAAGCTGGCCTGGATGATGAGGAATGGTGATTCTTTTGTAAAAGTGAGGGCAGGTAGAAGGCGAAATGAATCAGCCTCTAACCTGATAGGAGAGAGACTGCCCAGCCTTCATCTGCTGGGAGCTTTTATGTTAACTCTGAAACTTCTAGATTGCATCTTTCTTATTAATCAGTGAGCAGCAGAATTCAGGGTATTATTCCTTTGAGGAATTATTCAGTATGTCTGTTTCTGAAGCTGCAGTTACAGAGCACCTCTGAGAAGTACTGTATTTTGCTTCCCATAGGAACTCCTTGTGAGTTGATTATTTATTCATGATGTATCTGTATATATACAGATAGATAGATGGTTGGGGTTTTTTCTTTTTTCCCAAATGTGATAAACTTGATTATTCTGCTAAGGTCAGCTTTGTGTGCTGGGAGGGCTGGCGGGCTGGGCTGGCCAGGTCTAGGACTCTGCTCTTCTGAACTGACAGCAAAGGCTGTGTGAGCAGCAGGAGTGGAATGAAGCATCCGTAAAAGGTACAAGATGAACCTTAGTCCTGGCGCTCGTTTTGGGAACCCGCTTGTTTATGTTGATTGTGCACAGAGAGAACCCAATGGATTAAAAATATGACAGGCAAAAAACCCGCTTCTATCGGCAGAGCAGAGTTGCTCTGTCTCATTCACTGGAGTTCTAGGCAGAAAAATAACACAAGTCAGGGCCTCGTGAGCTTCATTTGCATCAAGCCACTGGTTTGAGTCATCTTGCACTCTCAGACCAGCAGCTCCAGGGAAGCCAATTCCCTAGGAACTCCTGTGCTGAACTGGATAGGGAGCAGCCAGAAGAATAACCAGACCTGGCTGCACTCTGCCTGTCGCACACGTGTGGTCCAGTGGACTGGGTCACAGCTCTAGGGCTCGTCCAGAGGAAAGCAGTGAAGGTGCTGTCCTGAGAGAGGGGGTGAAAATGATGTTCATTTGGTAGGGGAAGCTTTCCTTGGGGAAGAGGTAGCGAGAGGAGTCAGTGGAGGAGGCAGTTGGTATAAGTAGTGCATCTTCCTTCAACCTGAGCAAAGCACAGCTGTCAGTGCTGGAGGCAAGGCAGTCTGTAAGGGAGTGCAGGTTTAGTTCCCCGACCTGGGTGTTTCTTTTGCACTGCAGCCGTGTGGGCAGTGTGGGGAGGGTGCGGAGTTAGGGCAGGATGCCTGCAGCAGTGCTGCCTGCCTGGCTGGGCCGGAGCTGCTGAGGGGTTTTGTGGCTGCCTGTTAACTCAGCTGGTGGGATGCAGTGCTAGCACAGCAGGGGTTTGGGTACAGGTGGTTTGCACGGGTGAAGAGCATGTCAGCTGTCAAATTTTGTCTGGAAGGCTGTAAGAACCATAAAAGACTGTTAGAGCTATGAGCAAGAATATCCCTGTTTCACACTTAAGGCACTGAGCACTTTGCAAACTCCGCTCTCTTATTCAGCCTATTCTGGGTAGGCAGGCTCTTAGAGGAGTTGAAATGTGTCTGGGCATGCTGAAAGGTTTGTGATCGATAGCTCGATGGCAGTTTGGTGGCTGATAACAAGGAGGGTACTTGAGGAGTTGATCCAGGAGCCTATGTTGTACAACATCTCCATCAGCAGATGGTGGGGATGACTGTACTGAATACACCTTCAGCAACTTTGCACATGATGCTAATTTAGGGAGGGTGGCAGGCACACTCAGTGGCACAGCTTTACTTCCGTGGAACCTTGAGAAACGTGATTATTGGGCCAAGAGATGCATGTGGAGTTCAGCAAGAAGTTATAACCCCACGTTGGTCCGTGCTGGGAGACCCACCTGCCATGGTAGGGCAATGACAACAGATAGAGGTCTCTGTATGGGAGGTTCAAGTTTGACAACAAAATAAGCTTGTTCAGGCAAGGTGGTGCCCAGAGAGGTGGGGGACCCTCTGACCTTGGAGGCTTGCAAGTCTTTTAAATAAAGCCATTATCACCCTTGTCCAGTGTTGGCGATCTTCCTCTCTGAGCAGAAGGCTGGACTGGAGACCTGCAGGAACCCCTGCTAACCAGTAGTTCTGTGACTTTTGTTACCATTGTTAAAATTGAAAGTCTTAAACAATAACAACCCCTTCCTTTTTGTGAAGCAAGACTTGATTCAAAATAGTAATTTATATTTGCTTAGGAAGAAGCCATGTGTTGTTTAAAGTGATGGCTAGATTTGTGTGCAATAGCTGATGGAGTATTGAGGATATACTTGTGCAGGCAGGAACTGCCCTCAAACTGTGCAGTACTGTGATGGAAGTTTTGCTCCTGCCTGGCAGACATGTGTGGTGTTTGCACTAAAGAAAAGTGAAAAGCAAAAGTTATTTTGCAGATGCTCGAAAGCCCTGCCTTCTTATGAAAGCTGAGCGCAGGAATCTGTTTAAACCCAACTCAGACTAAGGAATAACCCTCTTCTTCCCTTACTACACCCTGGTGCCTTCCCAAAAAGGGTTGGGGAGAGGGAAAGATTATAGATGGAGTTGGCAGCATCTGAAAATATTCCCAAAGTGTCAAGAGGCCTATAAGGACATACTAGTTCTCCCTTTTTGGAGCTTATTTTCCATTAAACAAATTTCTAAATATTCCCTGAATCTTGCATGTGCATTTTCAGCACAGTTACCCTTGGCTTGGAACTGTGAAAGGAGAAATACTGAAAAAGACCAAAAAAACCCCCAAAACAAGACAGACTCTGGACCAGAACTGTGCTGCAAAGTGGAAAAATAAAAGATGTGTTACTTTTTCAGAGTGATAGATGGCAACATGCTTCCTGTCTTGGGAGCCTAAAAGCAAAAGGTTTATTAAGGAGAAGAAAAAAAAGAAAAGCCCAGGAGCTTGTTATATTTTGTGAATTTTACATTGTCACTTCCCTGAGGTGCATGTGAAGATAGTGTTAGAGTACAATCAGTGAAAGCAAAATTGAGTTGAAACACTGTGTGGTAAGCGGAAGCCAGGGAGAGTTAAAAGATGCACAGTGTCTTGCAGGATGGAAATCCCGTGCGTGCTGTGCCAGAGCTGTCCTCTGTCCAGGTTGGAAGTGCCTCAGGCAGAAAACATGACTGTCTACTTCTAGCAAACTTAGCAGCACTCCACAAAGAGTAGGTTGGGGTTTATTATGATTTTTTTTAAGAGGAAAAAAACCCCACAAACCACCACCACCACCAAAACCCCACAAACCACTCAAGGTTTGAGCAGTGAGATGGACTCGATTGCTTTGTTGAAGGAGAACAGGTTGCAGCGGGGCTGTGCAGCGCTGGCTCCGGAGGATTTTCCAACAGGATGCTGTGCATGTCTGCTGAGATGTTTGAGCACTGACCCCCAACGGAGAGCAGACCAGACTATTTGGGCAACTTGAGAAGAAAAGTATGGGGAAAATATCTTAGCTAGAGAGCCCTCAAGGCTCTTGAGTGTCTGTTGGTGCTGCTCAGATAATACCCAAAGCTGTTTGCATAAATTGGTGCTCTTTCTAGTACCGGGACCACAGCTTTGCATTCAGGTACACACACAGACATCTCCATGTGCCAAAGGAAATGGTGGGCTAATCTGATGCTTTATAAATTCCACACGTAGTGAAAATGAGATCGTCTCTGAAGGAACAGAAGAATTCTTGGGAACCCTCTGTCCTATAGGATATCCTAGAGGATAGCCTTCTGTCCTCTCAGAGTCCCTATGCATGCTTATAGAGATGATGATGTGTCATCTTCTCTTTTATTGTTGCCATAGTTTGTACTGTTTTTGAAGACCATAGATGTTAGTTAATGTCACATAATTCTCTTTTAGAGTAACTGATGGAGAAACATCTTACTGATAGGGAGCTAATGTAGGAAGGTGTGAGGTAGTTTATTTGATGGATACATTTTCTAGGTAGTGACTAGTAAATCTCTGTGCCCTTGCGAAGGGCACTTACAGAATGGAAACATAATTCAAAAATAGGAGAGTGGGAGTCTCTGATAATACAGCCTTGGGGGAAAAATGGAAAAAAAAAAAAACAAATAAAAATGCATGACCTGAACTAGGAAGTGCTAAGACTACCTGTGTGTCTTGCTGTAAGAGTGGATAAAACAGGTTCCTTCTCTTCCCAGTCACCCAGGCACTTGTGATGACTGGTGTACTGGTACTTGCAGAGGGGTACCTGAAATCAACAACCAGCCTCTCCAGAGTGATGTGCCAGATGATGGTTTTCCTTTCCAAATTAAAGTGCACCAGCAGGTGGGCAACTGGCATCAGCGTTTCAAAGGAGATGTGCTGATCAAAGGAGGCTTGACTGCACGCTCTACTGAGATATGAGCTCGGCAGGAGCTGAAAGCCTGTCCACCACTGCCTCTTCTCAAGTTTCTACAGCTACAAACTCCTGTCCCTGTGTTGCATCTGCTGCATGCCATACAAAATCTGCCCAGGCTCTGACTTTGCTGAAGTTCATTGACTGAAGACAGAAGCAGGCTCATCTACAGGAGCGCAGAGGTTGAGTTCTGTAGCAGTATGGCAGCCAAAAGTGCGGGAGAGTTCATACGCTCCCTGGAATACCCACTAATCCTGTTTAGTTTATCCCCGTCTAGCTTGTGATTTATATGGTCAAATGATTGCATACAAAACCTCCACCCTCCTCTGGAGTATATTTACTGTATACCAGATTTGCTGTAAACTGTTTTGAGAAAGTTACTCTCAAACTTTGAGATGTTGGAATCTTTTTCTGTCTGCTTATAAAGCTGGCACAGTAATTATCGTAGTCCGCTTGCAAGATGCTGAGAGAGAAAAATTAATTAATTCCAAAAATGACTTACGGTAGCTTTAGGAATACGAAAGCTAGTCCTTTAATCTTGGTGTGTGGTTGAGATGCTTCTTTCTTTTCAAATAAAGTTCTCATTTAGTACTGTCAGGTTTCTGTGGAATAACCATTAGTCCTGTCACTTATTCAGGACTGAGCCTGGCTGGTTTAAAATGCCCTAAGCTTTCCTCTGATCGGAAACCAGCTTTTCTACGTGAGGCTGAAGGAGTATCCACGAATGCCTCTTTTTATCTTGGCTTTGCAGCATAGCATGTAATTTTCTGTATTGCTTGAGCTCCAGCGTCTAGGCAACGAGAGGTGAGCTGAGGACCTGGTTTCAAACTCAAATCTTTGGTGTGTGTGGTGTGTGTTTTGTTTTTTTTAAAAACAAACCAACCCCCTATCTAAAACCTCAGATATTACTTGAGTACATCAAGTCACGTCAAGGAAATATGAAGTGACATATTTGGAACAAAAGCTTGTTTGTAGTCAGATGATTTCGTATGGGGTCCTGAGCACTTAGTCAGATACGGATGGGCCGGAGGAGTATTTGCCTCTCCCCTGCCCTCCTGTGGGTATAATAAATGTGTCTCAGATTGGTTAAACCTGCAGATAGCATTTTCATGTGGATGCTACAGTTGAGCTTCTTGTGTTTGCCTTTTTGTTCTGAAATGTCTCTTGCTGTTCAGGATGATGTCATGTCTTGGGTTTTCTTTTTGAACGCATCCTCTGTGGAATTGCGTTTCATGGGGTTGCCAATATGGATTCAGACCTGGTTGTTGGTGCTCTACTTGGTGAAATGAGTGTGGCTCCTCTGGGGACCTGGTCTTCATGAGGCTGGGGGACCCGTGTCAGGTCAGCAACGGAGACAGACATAACCTGGATAACCTGGTGTGTGGGTTGTTTTTGGTTTTGTTTGTTGTGGTTTTTTTTTTTACACCTACTTGAAGTGGCATTAAACTGGCTCTTGTGTTTCTGACTCAGCATCCAGGCAGCATCACTGAGGTCTTAGCAATGGAAAGCTTGGCTGAAATGTTACTAGAAAATTGCTTGCAGTAGTTAACAGGGCACGCGAAGTCCCAGGCTCGGCGTGTCTGGGTGTATACTGTTTTGTGGATTCCTGCAGAGCTGGCTCAGTAGGCACTGACTGTGGCCTAGCGTCCACTTAGAGGGGTCCAGCTGGTTTTGCTCTGTCTTCCTTGTGCCAGGGTGTATTTTAGATACTGATGCATGGTTTGGGAGGGGGTTTAGTTGATTTAAGCCTGTTTTCCTTCTTTTTGTAGGCGTATCAGGAGTAAAAGCAGATCGCTTTGAGGAAGCAATGACAGCAAAGCACTGCGCACTGTCACTGGTGGGAGAGCCCATCATGTACCCGGAGATCAATCGATTTGTGAAGCTCCTGCACCAGAACAGCATCTCTAGTTTCCTGGTTACAAATGCACAGTTCCCAGATGAGATTAGGTAAGAGTTGGTCAAAATAATTCCTACTAAAACATTTGAGTGCTGACCTGTGTTTTAATTCTGTTTTATTGCTCATTGAAGTCAGCTCTGCAGGAGCACTGACAATGGAAAAAGCCCACTTGGCATCTATTTGATTTTAACCTTAATCTCCCTGTGCTCTTTCTCATCTCTTTCTCTCCCCCAGTTTGATTTTCTTTTCTCTATCTCTTAAACAAAGTGTGATTACTTCTGAAAGTGAAGAGAATGTAATATAGTACCTCCCGGAGGTGTGAGGGAAGGAGAACAGCGAGTGAACTGCGTTTTGTGCTTGGGGACGTGGATAACTGGCATGAGTGTTTCCAACAGCTAAAGCAGGAGACTGAACTTATAAATTGCCTTTTTGGTTTGTATGCTTCTCTTGCAGTCTGATCTTTGTTCTAACTCCATAAGACCAGCCGTAAGGGCTCAAAGCAAAGATCTGTACACCCAGCATCTCCAGCAGGACCTAGAAAAGATGAAAAGTGCATGCTCATCTGCAAAAGTAGGATCAGTATTTTAACCTCCCTCTAAGGCACTTGAGCTAAAGATTCAAAATATTGTAATGAATTCTGAGTCTTCACATATGAATGCAAAGAATCCTTGTTGCTGATGTTCTTGAGCATCCAGACTGCTTTTAATGAAATCTGAAGCAATGTAGCAAGGAAACGCAGCACATGGTGTGAGCTGCAAGGTGGTTGAGAACTCATCAGAATACCGTCAGCTAATAACACTGACAAAATCCAACCTGGGAGTTATGTCAGCCTGTTAACGGAGCTGAACGCAGGGTAGTTTTGGTATGTCGCTCAACTTGTCACTTCAGCTCAATGCCTCTCCATGTTAGCACTTTCTGGTAGAGCTTCCTTCTGTGCTTCCTTCTTGTGGTCTGAATATGGCAGTGTGGGGGGGAGGGTGTGCAATTTTTGAGTGAGTAATTATACACTACAAAGGCATTCCAAATGATTGAATAATTGTGTAATCAAGTTACTTGAAGTCATGTATTATGTGCCTGATAGACAGAAATTGCTCTTTTCTAAAATAGCATTTTTAAAAAGAGAGCACATGCTATATTTTGAAGCTGCATTTCTTAGGATCTGCTGAATGTTTTTAAAAAGAAACAAAAAAGAAAGTGATAAAATGCTAGTCTTGCTGTCCTAAAAATTGCAACTGATCTTTGGCTCATCAAAGCAAATGATTTGCTTAATATGGGAACTGAAATATGCACCAAGCTCACATTTCTGTTGTCAGCAGAGGGGAGCTATAGTCTAAAAATTTAGTCCTAAAATAGGCAGCATGACCTCTGGCATCCAGCGTGTAAATGGGGAGCGTGGCCTGGGGTGTTTGCTGGGTTTAGGAAAGGGGCCTGCTGGCTCTGCACATCCCCTGGTTGGGTCTCCGGCATGGTGCTGCCTATGCCTTCCTCTCTCCTCCTCCTCTTGTATTTGGACTGCAGCTTCATCAGCCTCCAGGCACGCACATGCTTTCATAAAATGAGGTTTAGTAGCATGTGTGCTTGTATTGAAGAGTTACCTGGCTCTTGCCCTCTTCCTTCTCTTGTTTCTGTTTAGTGGCTCTGAACAAGAACCCTTGCCTATGTGTTTGCTTTTATGAGCATCAATAATAATAATAATGAGCAGATGGTTGTCATTGCTCATTTTTATTACATTGATGTTTCTGTTCTTCATATCATTGACTAGGCTGTGTCCTGTCTGGCTTGTGAAACCACCTCATGGCTGGTGATCTGAAGTCAATATATTGCTCTTGATTTGTGCTATGCTACTTGGTCATGAGTTCATATATGGTAAATAAATGCTGTGAATTTGATCTCCTGGATGCAATCTCAGCTGTCTAAGCTAGCTTGGAAATTGCAACCAAAAATTAAGGAGGAACATTGGAAAATCCATCCTAGTACCATGCAACTGAATTTCCTGTTTAATTATGAAATGTGGCTGTGTTCTGGGAACATCAGTTTGTGCTCTGCTTCTCCCTGGTGCTGGCTGGACCCATGATTTCCCTTTGGCAGAGCATCCACGAGGTTGTCCTGGCTCCAGTCCCAGCCATGGCAGAGCCCTGTGGACTGCTCTGTTTTGGAGCAATGCAGGGCAGAAATCACTCCCTGGGATCTCTTCTAATTCCTTAATTTTCCCCAGCGTAACAGTGAGTCTGGCTCTTACCTGTCTTAGGATTGAGATCCTCAGAGAAGAGATGATTTTTCTCAGCTCATGTTTTGAAAAACACTGGCTCCATCTTCAGTGGGGGCCCTTTTAATTAGTCAAATGCAGCATTAAGTAAATGTCCTAGTTTGCCTAAAACAGAACTATTTCTGCTTTCAGTA